GTGAAACCAAATATATGAAATATCATTAAATACTTGTAATGTAATGGGGTAGTGGATATAGTTGACATCTTTTTAATTATAAAACAGAACAAAAATAAACTCTGAACTAATTTATATTTCGAATGGTATACAATAAATTTTAACATTTAAAAAATGCTACATATGCGTGGGAAGCAAGTCATGGTGAATTTTTTCTTGCACTTGGTATGACGTCTTGTGCCCTTCATAATGACATGAAATAGCACGCATATATTTTAAAAAACGCTATCGAAAAAGATGAGTTTTATAAAGAGTATGCACGGAGAAAATTATTCTGGTAAAATTACCGAACTTTATGTTACTAATATTTTTGGTAAGGAATCAAAAAACATAATTCTGGTTAATAAAACCAAAATATATGGTATTTAAACCATTCATTTAGTCATTCTTTATTTGATTTTTAACGGTTTACCGTAATTTCTGGTTTTCGAAATTAGTTCTTATTAAAACACATTTAGTAAAACGTACACAACCGAAAGTAAATTTAACTGAATAGATTGTGTTGAGACGGAAATCAGGTGTGATTGAAGTATAGTAATATTGACGAACTGAAGATTGAGATGAAAACAGGATGATGAAAATAACAGTTGAAAGTGAAAACTGGATCATAAATTGTAATAAAACTTTTACTTGTTAGTAATTGGTACTCGAGATGCAAAAATTTATATTCATAGGACTTAAATTCGTATAAATTTTGCATAATAATATTAATAAGGACAGGCCATGAGAGGCAAATCTTCCATGACCTGCCTATTCGAAAGCTAAATTAAAAAGTTATTGAATTGTTCTCAGCAGAACTTTAGAATCATGTGAAGAGACCCATGGTTGGTGATTTATCGAAAAATAACATAGCCAAAAATTAAGCCCACCCCCCATAATCAGTATTAGGTTTGAAAAAATACCTTGGCGATCGCGAATCGCCAACAAGACTGTGAGAATCATTATAACTATGTAACTGAAACATATTTGTGGTAAGAAATTCAAGAATAAAGAGTTACAAATAGATTTTTGTTTTCGATTAGGCGCGGCAGTGAATTAATGAGTCTGCATTAGAATTGAAATGAAAAGTTAGCCTTTACATTGATCGAGAAGAAAAGAATAAAATATTTATGCTCACTTTAAATAAAAATTAACTAATTGATTTAATTTCAATATAATTTGAGATTAAAATGATTTTAAAAAAATAAGTTTAAGTAATTAAACAAATTTTAAAAGCTAAGAAATATGTAACGCCAATTATGGCATTACAGATGGTTTTGATGCTATGTTCAAAGGTATTATAATAAAACTACTAAATTTTACCTCATATACTAAATTTCATTCTAGATTTAAAAAAAATACATATTGTGTTGTTATTTTTACCAAAATCATTAACAAAGCGCTTTGGTAAAAAAATATCGAGCTTTTTAGTGCCTACAAAAGCAGAACAGGGTAAATTTTGACACATTCTAGTAGTTTTGGCCCTACTTTTTCTCGTAGTACAAGTATCAAAAACATATTAAAATTAGCTTGAAGTAAGTAATTGAAATTACTTTAAACAAGTTCAGTTCTAAAGGGCAGGAAGTGAGATAATTTAAATGTAAATCACATCAACAATGTGCAATAATCTAAAATTTACTGATTCTAAATCTTTAAACTTATTTCAAATTTGAATTTGTAAACTTACTGATATTCCGTCTTATCTAATGACATTTGTGTTATCATAGCGCATAATTTAATATGGATATGGAATAAATAAACTGTAAAATATAAAACTGACAATTAAATAAAGGAAAGAAAAATATATTGTTTTAAAGTAAATTCATCGCAAAGTTGCCATCAATCTGATGTCTTTAGTGTTCTCCAAACATATAAGTTTTAAACAATATTGACCTCACTTATTTCATTCGATGATTGTGAGTAATTTGAAGGTAGCTGGAGGAGTTGCCTAGTTGGTGGAAGGGATAAAGGTTTCGTCTTCAACGCCTAAGACATGGGTTCGATTCCCTGTACGAAGGCTCGTTATCTAATTGCATTGCAGCTTCTCTGATCGTGACTTAATGGTTCGAAAACCATTCTAATGTATTTTTAGGAAAAATAGGAACTAAGTTCAAGCATAATGTCTCTAGGTATTTGTTAAGAATGAAAAGGTTATGTTGAAGTCATAGAATGCAAAAGACTAAGATAGTTCGGATATCTATTCTGATCTGATAAAACACAAATCTAGTAAAAAAGCTCACTTTTACTAATCTCATAGGAAATAGAAAACGAGGAAGAATCATATAGTAAAAAAGAGAAAGGGAAGACCTTGATATAGGTAGGACATACTGGCAAAGATTACTTGGAACTGCCTTGGCCTGTAACAGGATATAATGCCTTGAAAAAAGAAGAATAAACAATCCCAGATTATTATCAATAGTCTATTATTTAAGCTGTAATGTAGTATAAATAACAAAAATGAAAGCTAAGCAGGTGGAGGAATTGTCAAGTATTTATTTTTCTAGAGTCATCAAGAATATCCATCTATAGTGTATTTATACACATATAAATGTCAGCCAGAAAGTAATTAGAATAATAGGAAGTTACTATTTCTTTGATATTATGCCTACATCTGCAGAACACTAAATGTTAGAATGTTAGAAAAATATAAATTGTCAGGAATTGAGAATGTTAGAAAAAAATGAATTGTCAAGCAATTTGCTATATTTTGTTACACATAATAGTCTATAATTAAGGAAAATAGAAATATAAAGAATAGTAGTCTATAGTTAAAAAAATACAAATATAAGGAATAAAATGTATTAATAACAACTTTTTAACAACAATTTAATATAGTTCGATCCTTGGGGATCATTTCAATCTTTTCCGTTCATTGAAATATAGGAAATTTAACCCATCACTTTGCTATTGTGTTATGTATTGCAACTATTAAATAATTATATTAAAATTGTCTCATAATATCTAAAATAGTAGAGAAGATTTTAAAAATATAATAAAATTCTTAAACTTATCTATATTTTATTATAATCACAACAATTTCTAAAGCATATGTTTTCTAGCATATATATTTTTTCGTTTACATTTCTGAGAATGTTAACTGAATAAATTGTTAAGCAATATACAATACTTTGTTAAAAATAATAGACTATATATAAAAAATACAAATATAAAGAATAAAACACACAAATAACAGTTTTTTTTAAGAAAAAACAATTTAATATAGTTCGATCCTCAGGGATCTTTTCAATCCATTTCGTTCATTGAAAAATAGAGAATTTTATTCAAGAAAAGCTTTATTTATAAGTCGATCCAAGCGACGAAAGGATTTCTATTGAGTAATCTATATCTAACTGTATCACGTGTGCAATCAACCATAGTCTTGATCTGAGCTTTAATCCACAGTTCAAAATCTGAACCACTTGATGCTTCCCAAGTACTAAATCCCGAGATTTACAGAATATTAAAATAGTTGAAGCTCCCTGTTAGAAGGGTGGAGAATCAAGGCGGAAATTACGTTTTGTCCTAAGGGAATCGGAAGTAAATCTTCGTTCGAGAATTGAAACAGTTGACGTTCCCCAGGGAATTCCATGTTTCCCAAGTTTTCAACTCTACCAAAGCGACAAAAGCTTGCTCTCTTTCTTTAGTGTATTGTACGAATTAAAACTTCTTAATTAATACACAGTTTCTTATTGGTTGATAGGGAACTAAATCTTGATTTTGGGATAAACGTCTTAAGATATATAGCCTTAGAATCTTAATTTCTCACTTCAATGAATTATAAGATATATTTGCTTCATAAGCATTTCTTATTTTTTATTTATTTACTTCATAATAAAAATTTATTTTTAAATTAAAGGAAATTCGTCTTTGAATTAGAATTTCCACTTCAAAATAACTGCAGAATTTTAGATGATTTTCAGACAGCCTACAATAGTTTTACAGATTGCTAATGCTAATAATAATGATATTTTATTACAACAATTTATATTAATTTAAATAGGTTCTAGCAATCGTACAAGTTATAAATGCAGAAGAAAATAACTAAAATTCAAAAGCAATTTTATTACAGATAAAGGAATCATACTAAATCAAACCATCACGGAAAAAAAATTCTGGTAAAATTACCATACGTTATGATAATGACTTTTCTGTTAAAAACCCATAACTCTGGTAAATAAAAACAACATATGCGGTATTTAAACCATCCAGCAGTAAATTTTTCCGTTAATAGGGTAACGTTTACCTGAAATTCCGAATTTCAAAGTTATAGTTTGTATTTCCACGTATTTATTAAATATATAAACTGAAAAGTAATTTTAAGCGAATAAATAGTTTTTATGCTGTGACAAGGTATCATAATGTAGTTACGAAATTTTAAAACATTTACCAAATTTTATCACATACGTAGGCTGTTCAATAAGTAATAAGAATAAAGTTATAAAAAATATAGAATACCTTTAATCGTCATGATTTACATGGTATTTTTCAAAATAACTACCCCGGCACATAAACATGCATAAGTCCGTTTTTGAGAGCTTTTTCAAAACCGCCTTAGCAACCTTTACACGTGCTTTGTTGCTTGCAAAATGTTTGCCTCGTAATGGTTTAAGTAGAAGAAACAGACAGAAATCACATGAAGTGAGACCAGGACTGTATGAAGGGTGTGGTAAAATTTCTACGTTGCTCTGCTGCAGAACATCCTGTACACAACGAGCAATATGTGGTCGGGCATTACATGGTGCAATAGGAAGCCATTTCGGAGTAATGGACGTTTCCTTCGAACCTGCTGTACCATTGTTCATAGGACTTTCGTGTAGCCGTTTACGGTATTACCAGGCTCGACAGCGTGTTGATACACAATTCCTTTATAATAAAAAAAAAATGTGGTCATAACTTTACCAGCCGATTTCACAGTTTTTGCTTTCTTGGGAGTAGACGAAGACGGATGCTTCTATTCACTGCTTTGTTGTTTCATGGTTGGGTCATAGTGGCACAACCAAGCCTTGTCTGCTGTGATGATGCGTAATAAGAAATTGTCGCCTTCTTTCTTTCCATTCTGTGCACACATCCACTCGATGTTGCATTTGCACAGGTGTCAACAATTTCGGAATCCATCGCGTGCAAACACGTTTCAGTTGCAAATGCTCTGCCATGATTGAGTGAACACTTCCTACAGAAATATTCAGGAGAGCATGCAACTGACGTACTGTCACTCTGCTGTCCTCCTCGATGATAGCAGCAGCTATGTTAATCATTGTCTCTGTGATGGACGTGGAAGATGGTCCCTCATGTTCAATAGCTTCCACATTTTGCCTGTCTTCCTTAAAAGCTTTATGCCAGTGAAAAATACCTGACCTCGACATTGCTTCATCGTTGAAAGCTTCACGTATCATGTCAAAGGTCACCGATGCTGATTTTTGCAGACGAACAAAAAATTTAATCGCATAACGTTGTTTCATCGACTCATTCGTTCATTTTCTTCGACTCTTCCATTTCGACAACTGGTCGCGTCTCGTAGGCCACCGCAAACACGCTCCAGTTCAACCACGTGATACTCAGGAACACGACATCTATCAGTAGCTTTAGTTAATACATACAACAAACTTTTTTTATGCGACAGAAACTATAAGTCCGATTAGTGGTTTCGCGACAGTAAAATTAGTCTCATTACTTACTGAACAGCAATAGTATTACAAATTATATTTTATTGTCAATTTTACCAAAATTATTAATAAAGCACTTCGGTGAAAATTACTGATATTTTTTTTAGATTAGTTTTGTTTGCTGAGATCCAGTAACACCGTAAATTTAGCTTATTCAAATAGTTTGGACTATTTTTTTTCTCAGCATGATTTATGCATCTTAGTTTAAAGAAAACTATTTTTATTAAGCATATTATTGTTATTAAACATATTTTTGTTATTAAATGTTAAAATAGGCAAGAGTTTTAGATTTTTAAAACATTAATTTAAAAAAATAGCTTTCTAAAAGCATTCTTGATATATTGTTTGAATTTTTTAAAAAAGGATCTCATAATGTTATTCCTGAAAACAAACATTCATTCATTGTGCTCAAATTTTAACTTTCACGAACTACACATTCTTAATTTTTTTTTTAAAAATCTAACATATATGGGACATAGTGTTTTTAGATTACTCTACAAATATTATGTACAGTATTTAGCACTCTTTATTCATGACAATGTGATAGGTCTACGTAGAAAGTATCCTTTTCCTTTTTTACAACGGATTCGGATTTTTAAAACTCAAAACATTGAGCAAGGCGTTGGTTGCAATCTAGAAACTGTATAATTCTGTGTAAGTGGTACACTTTATCTCTCTTTTTTTTCTTTTCACAATGAATTTGTATTTTTAAACCTTAAAGTATTAAGGAGGCCGATAATCACCACCTAAGAAATGTATTCTTAAAGTTTCAGTATAGAGATTGGTCAGAAGTTTGAGCCACCTAGTGTTAATTTAATTTTTGACTTATCTCACCATGTCCATAGAACTTATTTAACTTCTATGGACGTAATTATTATGGACAATAATCAATAATTAACAACTTAATCAATCAACATTTCAATACGTTTTTGGAAAAATTCGTTTTCTTTTGATTACATGTAGGCAAAACCATTTTTTAGTTCATCTAAGATTATTGTTTTACGCATTTTTTTGAAATTTTGCTTAGATTTTTAACTGAAAAAATCGCACTGTAAGAAAAGTACACCTTGCCTTGTATAAATAATAAAACACAATTTATTTCGCATTTGATTTTATAATGCCTGCAATAAAAATTTCTTTCTACAGTTATTTTAACTATTATTCTTTAACTATTATTTAATTGAACTCCTATAACACATATTCCAATAGAAAGAGTAAAACCATATATGAGCCTTAAATAGTAGCTGATTTAGAAAATTATTAAGTTATTATTTTGCTCTCATTTTAATGATTGTAAAGCACATGATAAATAAAATTATAGCAAAGTTTTTTCATCGAAAAAGAAAATATTTCTTTTTATATATGTATATCATTTTAAATATCACAAGTCCTGGTAGTTTGGATTGTTTCATCATAACATTAAATATCAATCTTATCCTAAATTTAATATCGATTGTTAAACTTGATATGTGATATTTTACCAATGGTACACTTACAACAATGCCTTATGCATTCCTAATGCTCTAAACAACGATTACTCATAGCTGATTTATATTTATAATTATTATATATCGTACGACACAGACATTTTAATAGATGAGAATCTGCATAACTTAATATTTAAGCTTAAAACTTTAAGGAACTATCGTGAAACCTAATCATTTTCCCAATAATGATGTCTTTAATTACAAAATGAGGAGTCAATGATGATATTCTTGGAAAACTTCAGATCATTATTTAAAATTAAATAAAAATGTTCGATCAATTTAATACAGATTCGAGCTGTTGTAGGAGTTTCACGCTAACTTAAAGTATATTAAAGTGACACCACTCAATTCTGAGTATTTTTAGTTAGGTTTCGAAGTTGTAAATAATTTGCATGAAATTTGTTTATAACTGTAAATTTATAAATTATTACTTAAATGACATAAATTTGTGCAATGAGAAAAATTTCTTTATTGTATATCATAATGTATTTTCTACAAGTTCATTAATAATGATGGAAATGTAAAAAGTATTCTTAAAACTGTTTTAAATTTTAAAATGTTCCCTTCTTAAATTGAAAGGAAAATACTTATATTACAACCATGATATTTTGAAATAGTTAAAGGAAATTAATACGTATTTTTTTTTAAATGAAAATTTTTGACTTTGTAGTTTTTGGAAAATTTTTCAGTAAGTTGTTAATATACGTATAAAATGTTAATAGAACAAAATATTTCTGTCACATAAGTGCAATGGTATTTTCTTCAAAATTTCCATAGTGCCAAGTTAAAAACTAAAACTAAAGCCTACCAAAAAAGTGTAATAAAACAGCTGTGCTGTTTTAAAGAAAAAAGTTATGAAAACTGTTATCTTATAACAAAAATCAAATATTGACTGAAAATTTTTATTGCGAAAAATTTAAAAATATGCGTCAATTATTTTTCGACATGAAATCATAAAAAATATGTACTGAGCAGAAATTCCTTTATGGAATATAGCAAAATGGATGCATATACAAGGTATTCTAAAAACACCACCTCAACTTTAAGTTTCAGCATATTTATCAAATATTAAAATAAAAAATGCACAGTGGAGTTGCACTGTTACGTGTTGAAAAAACAATAACGCTATCGAAATCTGACAAATCACCATTGCACCGAGAAAAAAATTCTTGTTCATAAAACCAAAATATACGGCAAATTCTGGTTTTCAAAATTATAGTTCTTATTTAGTAAAAAGTACGAAACTGAAAAGTAAATTTAACCAAAAGGTATCAAGACAATATTGTCAAATTTCGAAACAATTATAAAATCTTATCACATATTACCGAAATATATTTAATTTTTATTTTACCAGATTCATTACCAAAGCGCCTTGGTAAAAGTTAATGATATTTTTGGTGTTCTCATAGAGCCAGAAACACTTTAAATGTTCCCATATATTGGTAGTTTCGCCCATAGTTATTTCTCGGTTAATAACGCTGAGCAATAAATAATCAATAAAATATGGGCCAAACCTATTCTGGCAGTTTTGAAAATAAGTTTTTTTGCCAATGTTAGATAGGTGGTGCACAGAACATTAAAAGCTTGTTTTGCTTCTTTGTCCAATGCCAACTTATACTGACATTCGTCATTCGGGAGTCTGAGGGGCAGGCCATCTGATCATACTTTCAGGGGTACCATATTATCTGTGCCAACATTACACCCACACTAAAAAGATAGTACAGTGAGCAGATAGTGCAAAGAAAAAGGAAAGAACATCTATACCTCTGTCCAAGATTCGAATCCGGGACCTCTCCGATTCCACGATACAGTCTGGTTGATACAGTACGTTACTCTTTGAATGCGTTACTAAACTAATAAACAACTTTCAACCTCCCCCTCCTTCACCCGTAATCAAACAGGATTTGAGGTAAATTATGCCAACTAACCATATGACAACACCCTGAACTGCAATTTTTTCAGATTTTTCAAGCATTATTTTATTTATTTATTTATTTTTTGCTTTCTTTTAAGTGGGAAGAAAAAAAAACGCTAATATTTAAACAAGGAAAATTATTTTATGATTCACATTCTGTATACTTTCATCTTCATTCTTGATAAAAATAATAATGAAAACATATATAAGGGGTGGTGTTTATGAAATACACTTTATGTTCTACTAACTCAAAATATGAGTCCCAGTAGAATACTAAGCAATGGCAAGTATAGTAACTTATTCACTTTCGAATGATAAATCGATATCATATCTCCAACTCGATTCATCAAGGGAAGGACAATGCTTATTTAAATGCTTTCTATCCTTCCATCTTCAACTATCAATCAAAATATCTGAGATTCCACCTAACTTCTATTATGCATTAGTTACATATTCCGTCCTTCAATAAATGTGGCACTAGTCATATTTTAGAAATCAGTTTCTCAAACATAGTTTTCCCGCCAATGATTTTATCGTAGATATTAAAAATATTTCATGTCAGATGGAAGAGGAATTATCATTGGCTATCAAAATTTTAATAAATCTTGGATATTAATCTGAAGATATTTTTGAACGAATACAGACAGATATGTATGTCATAACTATTTAAGTTGTGATCACATTTTGATATAACTATATTGTTTAATCTATTTCTTATTTAAACCTTGTTTTTGACAAACTTTTTGATTTTGAAGAGAGTTTAATATATAGTTCAGCAGTTCGCGTCAAATAGAAGAGGAATTGTCATGGGCTATCGAATATTAATAAAAGATATTGATATTAGGATCTCTTCAGTCAATTTTGAACATGTTATACAGGTAAATTCATGCCTTATTCATTCCAGTTGAGATAAAACTAATATCATAAAATAGATACATATTTCTTATATTTATTATTATATTCTTACACATTCATATATATTTTTAATATATTTCTTATTTTAACTTTCTTTTTGACAAGCATTTTGATCATGATAAATGCTTAATATTATTCGAGTTTAATACATTGACTAATGGAAAAAAATACATAATATTTTCAGTAAAAAAAATTTCAGTAGTTTGCTTTTAAATAAATAAAATGGGTGATAAAATATTTAATAATATTTGGCTATCCTTTCCTAAATGTATAAATACGCCTACCTATATAATCTTACCTGAAAAATTGAATAATTTCACACAGAAGACAATAATAAAATGCGCACTGCATGCCTATATTTTATAACTGTTTATGTTACTATTTTAATGTATTTGTATATTTGGCAAAGTCTT